GTCATTTACATTCCATAATTTACTTTCTTGTCATTTATTTTCCCGTCATTTATTTTCCGCAATTTACATTTATGTCTTTACTTTCCGTCATTTACTTTACTTGTTATTTACATTTCGTTATGAGTAGCTAAATTTATATAGATTGGGTGTGAGACGGAAATGTGAGATTTTCGAACCAAAAGAAATTAGCTAAGTGTTTTCATAAACGATGTTCCATTGTTTCATTCGAGTTTTTATAAAAACCAAGTACACTTCTTGACGGTTTGGTCACTTTGAAAGTGTTAAAGTGTCATGGACTTAGAAAAAAGCCATTGAACACACGTCAACTTGAATGATATAAGAGGTAGACTTGAGAAAGTTGCCGACAAGGAAACTTGTCATTTATGACTTTCAAACTTAACTCCCGACGGGTTGGTCACTCTTTAAAAGTGTCAAAGTGCTATAGATTCAGAAATAAACTATCTAAAACACACGCCAACTTGAATGATATGGGAATCGACTCGAAAGAGTGATTTTTAACAAAGATATTTGTTTATCCATTCATTTTGAAGACACCATCTTGTCACTATCCCTGGTCCGGATACTACATAGAAATATGGGTTGAAAGCTATAATATAGTGCAATGGTGAAGTCCGAAAGGAATACCTTCAAAATAGATGGTGGAACTAAGTTTTGAAACAATGCTTGCTGTAGCATTCCTACAGCATTGGCTACGGGAATTTGTGTTAAGGTCTCACCACAAGTCTTACGCCCTTGCTATCCTGTTATATTATGTTTTCTGTATTGAATCACCTGAATATTAAACTGAAGTTTTCAAAATCATCATCTGAAGTCATCTCTTTCATTGGACTCTTATTAAACTTTTGCTACAATTTCCGTGGACAATAATTCGGTATTTTACCACTCTATTACTTGGAAAGACGATATTGGGCCGTATTGTATACTTGCTTTGTGGTCCATTTCGTTAGTCTAAAGGGGTGCAATATAACCGACCAGTAACCAACTCCTTTAATCGATACAGTGCTCTTGCTACTGGTGCTGCCCCGGGTACCAAATCAATCTTGAATTCGATAGATCTATCAGGCGGTAGACCGGTCAAATCTTCCGGGAAGACTTCTTGATAGTCATATACAATCAGAATCAACTCTTTCTTACCCTTTTCCTTCTTTGAATCTACCACATAAGCTAGATAACTCTGACATCTTTTATGAATACACTTTCGGGATTTCAGAACCGATAACAAGTTGGTATGGTGATTATGTCGATCACCAGAAATAACAATCGATCCTTTCCCCGGTAGATCAATACTGATCATTTTCCTTTTACACAGAATACTAGCCCGATTCTCTGCTAACCAATCCATTCCCACCACAACGTTGAATTCTTTCATCGGCATAGGGAACAGTCGGATCGGTAGCCCACACACTTCAATTTCAATTCTGCAGTTATTGAACACATAAGCAACATATTCTCGACTATTAGCTGTGTCAACTACTAATATATTGTCAAGTGGCACAAAAGTCATGCATGCAATTTCAGCAAATAAAGGTTATACGAACGAAAAGTTTGCACCTGAATCAAACAGCACCTTAGCAGATATGGAATTGATGAGAAATGTACTTGTTACCACATCTGGCGTTGTTTCCGCCTCACTCTTTGTCATCTAAAATGATCGGCCCCGCACCCCACTCTGGCCTCTTCTTGGTGCACTAGGTCTTCTTCGAGCACTTGGGGTATTTCCTCCCATCGTTAAACAAGGAACCCTTAATTGTGGGTAGTTCGGCCGAAAATGATCAAGTGAATTGCATTGAAAACACCTTTTAGGTATAGTGAAATCCCTTGATAAATGACCTGCCTCTCCGCATCGGTAACATCTTTTCGGTTCGGGTTGACAGTTTCCTGTTGTACCTGTTGACACCGCGGACAAGTTCTAGCAGGTGGTTGTTTAGAAGAGTAATTATCTGATTTTATGAATTTGGGTCTTCGAAAACTGGCTGAAGATCGAAAATTGGCTGAAGACCCCTCCCATTTTCGTTTTTCTACCACTTTCTCTTCACCCTGCCGATTCTTATTTCTTTCCGTAACCTCGACAACATTTACAGCTAAAGAAAAAGTAGCAGGGTCCATGGCAATCACAAATTCTCTGATGGAAGGTTTCAGACCCAAAATATATCTTTTAACCTTTCGGGATTCAGAAGAAACATAATGCTCTACGAATTGGGAATACTCGATAAACTTTTCAGTATAATCTCGTACAGACCTGTTTCCTTGCTCCATTTTCAAAAAATCTTCTTCCATCTGTCTCACTGCAGTTCTAGGATAGAATTGTGTTTTGAATCTAATCACAAATTCTTCCCAAGACATAGTTTGCAGAACATTTGGCTGGGCTACTGATTCCACATTCCACCAGTATAAAGCATTAGACTTCAGCATAAAAACTGCAAATCTAACCTTATCCTCCTCAGAACACCTAGTGGAGTTAAATATTGATTCAATTTTATTTATCCAGCACATTGCTTTTACTGGATCTCTCTCTCCTGAAAAAGTTGGGGGTTTCCATGTTAGAATCATTTTTATGTCTCCTCCCCTGTTATTAGTGCCTGCTAAAGGAGCTGGAGAATTTATTCCAACTTGTTCAGTTTCTACTCTGTCTGGCAATCCCATAATGGATACTAAATTCTCTCTCAATCTGCCTATCTCTTCAGCCAGAACATCCCTACCTACGAATTTCAGTTGAGGCCCACGCTCCTGATTAATGTTTCCTGAAATAGGTTCCCCTTATCAGGATGAACCTCAATCTGACTTCTCCATTGAACCTGATTCCTCCCTCGGCCTCTACCCCTGGTTCTTCCCCTGCCTTGACTCCCAGAAATATCAGTCGGAGCATTATCAAGAGATTCTTCTCTTTCTTCAGGATTGGGGTGGGTGATCCTTTCAGACCTTTTTGATCAACTAGCCATCTGTAGATATTTTAGTATTAAATATCACGTATTCACATTCCCAAATATAATAAGGTGTCCAAGTTCATATATGTACTTGTAAATTCATAATTACATTGGCCAGATGTAATTTGAATCTACCTTACACATTGTTCTCTTAACCCATCAAATTTATTCCCAGTGATACTACCTATGTTCGGGATTCTTAATATGCAAATGAAGGCATCATACTTTTAATAGCTAAATCTCTTAAACTCAGGCTCTGATACCACTTTCTGTAACACCCCATTCTCCACATTTGCATATAACACATATTTCATTTCAATGAAATATAGTTTACACCACATAGGACCCACTAGTGCAAGGATTCTTATATGTACAAAATTTACATATGTAAAATTTCAAAATAAAATCCCCACACTAACACATGTATGACAACATGTATCTTCAAAATATTCAATCATCAAGTTGATCTTCATAAACATATAACATATAGGGAAAATAATTACATTTTCCCCTTCCCCTTTTTATCCCTTGACCCCGCGGTTCCTGCAATGCACATTTTTGAAACACAAAATGAGGGTTAGACCAGAAGGTCTAGTGAGTAAATCCCTTCTTTGCAAATACAGGGTGATGAACACCAAAATCTTATAAAATATCTTTTATACATAAATAAATGCATTTCAGCAAAAGAATGTAATCCAATTAGATGATCAAAATATATGGCCAATAGTTTGCTTCAACATATAATCCAAATGCACCTCTCTAAAACCCAGAGCTCAAAATAGAATTCTAACTTAATGGACCATTATTCTCTGGTTCCATAGACCAGAGCTCCTTTTGTTCCACAGACCAGAGCTCTTCTGTCCTTACCAACTAGAGCCTTTGGTTCCACTAACCAAAGCCTCTGTATCTAAGTGATACAATACTCAACCAGAGAACTTCTAGTTTATTAGTGATTCTAATTCAAAAGAATCTACCATAACATAAAAGATGTATAAAATTGAATCAGAGATCCTCTGACTCTTAATTTTTGTTTATAAATATTTTTGAAGAAAAAGATTATTTTAAAGAATAAAATTATGATACAGAACTAAGATACAAAGCTTTTGTATGAAATATACAGAGCTTCGGGTTTATAAAATTCCCAAAATATTTAAAGCCTTTTCACATAACCAGAGGTCCTCTGGTCCTTTTATAAGACCAACCAGAGCTCCTCTATATGTATTAAAACTTGATAGAAAACTTAGGCAATGAAAGCCTCGGATGACAAACCATTTTCCTCTTCTCAATAACATCTAAATTATGATTTATAAAAAGAACAATATCTCTAATTCTTCAAGTCACAAAGAAATGCTGATTTAGAGCTATTGTATCTAATTAGTGATAATAACAAGAGCTATATTAATATCCACATCTGACATTGCCACCCTTATAACTATAGGTACACTTCTCCTTAATATGTCACCCTTATTTCTTCTTTAAAACAGGGTTAATTGCTAGAATAGACAAAAGTCACCACGTCTAGAAGTACCCATCACCCAGTTCCAAGCCAGAACAGACAAATGTCACCACGTCTGGGGGAACTACCTCTTAAAACAAGTTTCATTCCAGAACAGACAAGTGTCACCACGTTTGGAAGAAACATTTCTCAAAATACAGTTTCATACCAAAACAGACTTACGTTACCATGCTTGTTAAAAACATTTCCCAAAATATAGTTTCATACCAAAACAGATTTACATCACCACGCTTGGTAGAAACATATCCCAAAATATAGTTTCATACCAAAACAGACTTACATCGCCACGTTTGGTAGACACATTTCCCAAAATATAGTTTCATACGAAAACAGACTTAAGTTACCACGCTTCGTAGAAACATAATCTTTTTCACTTTAAAAAGATTAAAATACCCCTTTTCACAATAACAAATTTAATACCCAAATAAATGTTAAATGGTGAAAATCCAATATAAAACTCAATTTCAACACTCAAGGCTTGTACAGATTGTTTATATCCGGACAAGCTATCCGACCAACACATGTCCGGACATACTTGGTCGGACTCCCTATCCGGCCAACATAATCAAGTAACAAATACCCTTATCCAATCTATCCGGATGCACCCTTATCCGGAAAATATTATGTCCGTGCATAATCAATTGGTTAAACATAGAATTCTCAATCCTAACACTCGACGGACGCACCTTTATCGGACAATAAGTGTCCGAGTACGATCAATCATTGGTCAATTCATTGACCAGACCTTGCTCTATTCGCACAATACTATGTCCAAATATAATCATTAATAAACAACCCTCTATTCCAATTCGGACAACATTGTAACCGGACACTCTCTATTCCGGTCAACACAGAGACCGGACAACTCCAATCCGGTTATTGAATGTGTTCAAGAACAAGTACAGTAGATTGAGTATCAATATAACACAATTCTAAATCAGTAATCAAAACTTATGTAAAAGATGTTTTCAAAACATTCACCTTATGCAGATTCCAAAATTTTGAAGATGGTTAGTAAATATGAATCCAACTTCAGCTTCCCAGATTAAGCAAGTAAAATCCATAGAATCACTCTCTCTCAATTTTCAAAAAATGGCAAGAAGTTTGCATCATACCCCATACCATCCTATTTATACCTTTCTATGAAAAGAAAGACGGTTTCTCACACCCTCCTTATGCATGCATATATTCTACATACATAACCCATGCAAATAAATAAACTCTTGCACACACATAATGACATTTTATGCATACATACATAACATATAAACATATGCACCCACGCATATAATTACTTAAAATCATGCATATATTCCCATGCATATTTTATCACAATTAGTATGCATAAAATTTATACACATATTTACCTACCAATCTCAAGTAAATATGTATCCAGATAACCAATTATAACAGTTAATCACATGTCAAACAATCACATAATGATTACCTCAGGTGATAACCAAGACTCGGTTATCACATTATGTTATTGAATAAAAAAATAAAACATATATGTATTTATATGATAATACAAAGTTTCCGCCTTATGCCACACCTTAAAAAAAGATCGTGTATTCGTCGTGGCGTGTTAGGCAATCTCGCCAGCACGATATATCTTGTAACATCTTTGGCCAACCGTACCAAATATTGTTCACTTTGTCCACACACTTGGACTCACAGTTTTAAAACGCGTCTAGTAGAGGATTTATCCAATTCCTAATAAGGTAACCTTAGTTCCCCTTATAAAGCAACCTTAGTTCCTCTCTCTAAACAATGTAGGATCTTACAATCGACCCCCTTGGGAGCCCAACGTCCTCGTTGGAACACTAGAGTGATTCCCGACTTTGATACCATACCATTTGTAACATCCCAAACCAACCATACCAAATATTGTTTGCTTTATCTAAACATCTAGACTTACGGTTTTAAAACGCGTTTAGTAGAGAAGGTATCAAGCTCCTTGTTCTCTCCCCAACCAATATGGGATCTTACACGCCTCATGCTATTTTAAACCTTGAAGATAATATGAAACATAATTTCTCAACTAATAGAAAAAATTTGGTTAAATGACATATTTAGCCTACGGATCCATCTTAATTTTTTAAAAGCATCATCTAATCTTTTAATATATCAATCATCTTTATGTCACTTTCACGTCCCTATCAATATGGGATAGCCAAAATTGAACCACAATTCAAAATTTGATAATACTCGGTTTTATGTTGTCACGTTATTTTTATTGGTTGTTACTTTAAATTATAAGGATAGGTTCAAATGAGAGAATAGTCAACTTATAACAAATGCGAGAATGACCAAATCTAGTGATGAATCCAGAAACTCAACTAACTGGGGGCATATCTAGAGGCGTGAAACATTCAAAAAAGAATAATTCACCAAACCAAATGAGGTTCAGTAAAAACGTTCTTGGATTGTTTGGTTCCATGCTTAACGGTTCGTTAACTAGATAATGAAACCTTATTCAATGTTTGGGTTAGATATATGTTTTTTTAGTTGTAAATTAATTCGTTATGGTAACTAATTATGTTGTAAATGTTTGTTGGGTCTTTCTTTGGTAATATTATTTGTGATTTGATTCAATTTGGGATTTAGGAAAGACGGATAGTATGGGGGATCACGTGAGTGGAGATAGTTTATTGATTTGTATATAAGCATTGAAAACTTGTACAATAATACGACCTTTAAAAACCATAAATTGGTAAAATAAAATAAAAACCAATTTACCCTTGATTTAACAGACCTTTTTTAACGCTGTTAGTTTCAGAGACGAAAAAGGAAATAAAACGGAAACCAAAATAACGTAAAAATAAACTTTTAAAAATCATGGATGAAAAAAGTTATAAGCAACAAACTACGAAGAACAAAAACTCTGAGTTTATTAGTTGGAGGATAAGTGAAGAATTTGATAATTTATTGTAACTTCCTTTATTTAAGGAATTGTAGTAAAGGTAAATGATCATCCATTAAAGAATTACGTCATTTTACCTTTTTCACTTAATAAATTGTTGTTTTTAGTAAGAGTAAAATACATTTTTGGT